CTGGAGACCCTGAGGAAGGGCCCTGGGGGTGCTGCCTCACAGCCTGGAGACCCTGAGGAAGGGCCCTGCCCCACAGCCTGGGCCCCGGGATGCATGGCAATCTCTTCCTGGATCCTTTCCATGGAAAATGCCTCCTCCTCCCAAGCCTGTGCCTAACGTCCTAAAAGCCAAAAGAGGCTTTTCACCGTCTTCACTGGTTACCTCATCAATCCACGAGAAGCATATTAAGGAAAAGGTCCCTCAGAGAGGTAACGCAGCCAAGTAGTTTGCCTCCCCTTTGTACCTCCTTCCTCACCCACATCCCCAGACAAAAACAAACAGGCAGGCTTCTGACTGGGAGATGGTGGAAAAGCTCATAGCTGCTGTCAGGTGGCTTGTGAGTTTTCTTCAAGCCAAGGAAGTCGTCGGCTTCCCTGACTCTGAATACATTTGATTTTTAGGTTTAGGAGAGTTTCCTTTTTCTTCCCTGACAGGAAAAGCCAGGCAACCTTTGCTCTGTCTGCGTTGTTGATGGCTGGGCAACCGCACCACGAGGTTGTTTTCTTTCATTAAGTCAGTAACGAAAAGGCGACTCTGCCGAGGAACTTGTACTGCGTAAGCATGAAGCTGTCAGGATGCGTCCAAAGCCTTAATGTATCGGCAGCGGTGATTCAGCGACTTACTGTATGTGACCCTTTGATCCTAAGCTGGCTCTCTGACAGGTGTCGCCCGAAGACAGAGCATCAGCCTTTTAAAAGGCAGATCCTATCATATGATGACAGAGGGAGAATCTGAAAAGAATCCTGATCAGTCCCGTCAGAGGGCAATAAAATCATATGTAGTCATTGTGCAGAGGAAAAGTTTTACTTCTAAATAGCAGGGCATTATTATTATCTCTCTTTAACGACTGCTATGATTCTTGCCCCACCCGACTTTATGACGTCTGTTACAATTAGAGCTAGTCCCAACAGCATGGGGAAGGCAATTAAAAAAAAAAAGCAAAGAATGCATTTTCTACCAACCTTGATTTTTCACTTCAGCAAATTCCTTGTTGTATTCTTCCAGAGTTTCCCGAAGTTTCTGGTTCTCCGTTTCAATATCATGCATGCGCTGGACTTTGAGCTGCAGCTGCTGCCCGAGGTCCAGTGCCGGCACCGGATCTGCACAACACGAGGAGACATGTCAGTTCACTCTGCACGAAAATGTGCAACCCTCACAGGCACAGAAGGCCAGGTTTCCTGGGGCGCCCAGAAGGTCAGCCCCCCATGCCCCGAATGTTCCCCCAGGGCTGCCACCACTTGCCAGGATGGGTAAGCCAGGAGGCCAGACTCCCAAAGCTGGGGCCTCGCCTCCCACAGCAGAGCCCCAGGAGCCTCTGGCTGAAGAGGCAGACACTTTTCTGCTGCTCTATACAGGATATGTACACAGACAGCAGCAAGGACTCAGCATGCAGACCCACCCCAGTGTCCTCAAAGTGTTCAAACAGGATGGGAAAGGCTGTGGGAACTCACTGGTACTTGCAGACTACTCTGGTGTGGTATAACTCTCTAATGATTTATCATTCTTTGATCTGATAATAAGAGGAATACATCTGGCAGGGGCAAGGGAAGGAGCCCCAGGAAAATCAACAACATATCTGGAGCTGCCCCTGGAGGATGAAGAGTCTGTGAAAAGGACCACATAAGCTTAAAGTTTGCAATAATTTTCATGAAGGTGAAATAACTCTGAAGGTGTCCCATAGGTCACAAAATATTTCATGGATATTTTCTCCTTTGAACCTCACCACAATTCTGGGAAAGAGAAGTGAGACAGACATGACATTCATTTTATAGGGCACAGACTAAAGCTCGAAGCTACGTGACTTTTCCAAGATTACTCAGCTAGCTAGTTAGCAGGCAGACTGAACGTAAATACAAGTCTGTTAGCTCCAAATGACCAGTCTTTGTATCAAGGAATACTGCCTGGTGGAATGGAGGAAATAAACCCTTGAGCTTTAGTAAGAAGCCATCCCATTTAGGAACATGATCCCTTTTCATCACAAGCCTCCTTTACTAATGAAGGATGTTCGGAAGGAAGAGTCAGGGGTGATCTGAAGACTGAAGAGCCCTGGGGTCTGACTTTCCCCAGAAGCACAGCTGGTGGTGACCCAGCAGGCACTGTGGCCTATCTCAGGCCACTGCACTCGTGATTACAATACAAAGAGTGGACGACATGAGCAGGAAGACAGCATCTGGGCCAGTTATGTGAGGTCTTGTGGCCAATTCACTGTGATATCCGCCAGCAGATTCATTTACAGAAAACTGGGTTTTAACCTGAACTTAGAGATTGTAGCCATGGAATTTACTGTACTTAGAGGTACAAATACTTAGTCCTTTGCATTTACCAATAGCTCTGCACAAAATGGAGCAACATTAAATTTTCTTCTAGCGTCAACTCAATCTTTTATTTTTTCTTCTGTTACCTAAAAGGCAATTATCATCCACCTGCTGAGCACCAGTAGAGAACTTCCTCTGGAATTCTCAGGCTCCATCGGACTAGAAGAATACTCAAGTCCACAGGGCTTAGAAAAGATTATTGAATAAATTTCTGGTATAGGCGCCAGCATCACTTGTGGAACGGCTGCAAAGATTTAGTCTCCTCTTGAGGAATGCTAAACACCAAGCACACTGGATCAACAAGGGTATATATTCAAGCGCTCACTTAATTTCCAAATACCAGAGCCATTAATTTTTCAGGCCACCCTTGGTTCCTGGAGAGGGGGGCTAGGTCTAACCATGCCTCAGCCAACGTGCTAACCATGAGCCAGGAACTCTTCAAGATGCCAACGTCTTTTCAGAGTTTACAAAAGGCAGCCCTGGGATATGTCCGGCACAATGTCAGCAGACTCTGTGTGCCAGGGTTCAACACCAACGTTGTCCATCATGCAAAATCCCTGGCTGCTGGGCATTTAGCCTGTGCATACACAGTTTCTGACTGCCTTACTTTTTCACTTGTGGCTCTTCATTATTATTTTAATTGGCATTAAAATACTGATGTTAAATTTGATTTTAAAGGCTATTTGGGGAGATAGTTCCTTGTAAGGAGGAGATAGGACACTAAAACCTGAATTCCTCAGATCATTCCAGGTACAATTTTTTTTTTTTAATTTCCGTTATTTTCCCAGGGAATCTTCTCCTTCCTCCAGCTCCCCCATGGCCTCCTGCTGGGCAAATGGCTTGAAGGAAATAACAGCACACCCGTGGCCCCCTTCGTATAGAACTTCAACCTGAACTTGATGCAGAGGTCAGGGACGGAGAGGCAAGGATGAGAACTGCTGCACTTGTATAAAATTCTAAGAACATTTGCTCACATAGCCTTTCCAGTACAGTTGCCAGTACAAATTATATTTTTAAAGAACTAAGCTAGTATACTTACTGTCCTCCATCCCTAAAATTTCTGTCAACAATTTTTCCAGTCCTTTCCTTTTAGAAGGCCAGGACCAACTATGTCTGTTCGAATAAATAATAGCTTCCCTCGTTCAAATCAGCAAGGAATTCAGTGAATATAAAAATAACATGCACATTATCAAGTGAATAGCAACTAGACCTTTAGACAAGTTTTCAAACCTCACAAAGCATTATATTGTAAATGAAAATTCTGGCAATCTCATAATTATTCATTATGGCATTTATATTTAATTTAACACTATTAAAGGTTAATGCCTAAGTAGCAAAACTGGTTACAGAATAAAGAATGAACTGAATGTTCAAACATCTCTATGCATTAAACTTCAAACTTTACTACAGTACAGTTGAATGACTAAACGCCTACATCATTTGAATATTGTTTTGGGATATGTAAAAGGCATTGCTAAAGTACCTCTTAGGCTTAATTTTTATTACTTGTATTAAAGGAGTAGCTAATTACCACATGACAATATAATGACTCTAGCATGTTTGGGCTAGAGACCAAAACAATGAATTTTGGCATGCCAAACCCCAACCTGCATGTTAATCTAGGGAAATCATAGCTTTTTGTCTCGTTAATGATTTCCAATGCCATTTAAACCCCACACAAGTATTGTTAGATCTTATTCTGAACATCACAAGCCTCGGATTTAAGCAGCTCAATTAGGGAATTGTCTGGGGGAGGCAAGAGAACACACCCATACGTAAAACATGAACATACGAAATCCTGTAACCCCTGTCTTCCCGGTCTACTCCAACCCAGCATGCTTTATTGCCAGTTCCATCCACCTAGTGCGACAAACTTGCAAAGTGCTTTACAATCATCTAATAGTTAATTCCTAAACTCTCTGAGGTTTATATAGCTCCTTGTGCAACACAGGACTCAAAGAACATAATTATAACAAACAACAACAATACCATCGCCTATATGATTCAGTACCTTTTCCTAATACGTATAACATTATCTTATTAATCCCAGCCACTGCATTCAGAGCCCGCGGAGGGTGCTCTGCAGTGTGTCAGGGGCTGGCATCTCACACAGGGACAGAAGGAGGCAAGAAGTCGGCCACGGAAACAGTATGTAAAATTCTAATTAAGATGTCTGCCTCCTGAACCAGCAGTCAACTAAATTAAACCGTCTTTTCAAGTACTAATTTAACAAGTATTTCCTAAGCATATATCTTTTCTGGGTAAGGCCCTGGGATGGACACTCAGCAGAGGCAGCAGGGATCAGCCTCACAGCAGACATAAACTACACACAAATAACAAAGTTTACGTAAAGCAAGAAAGGCCACACTGAAGATCAGATCAGAGGAAGACTATTCCCAGATAGAAAAACAAAGAAAAGTAGATTTTTTTTTTTTTTAAGAGGAGGGAGCATTGAGCAGATCCCTTAAAAAATAAACGGACATAGGTGAATCCTATGGTCACCTTGGTTTTTTATCAGGAGGAAGTTTCTGGACTGCAGCACAGGGAATGAGGAACTCAAGCAGAACACAGCAGTTTTGCTGGGTAGAAAAGACAGCTCAGAGTTTAAGAGCTTGCGGCAGCTGGAATTTGCAGGGCAGAGCACTGGAGAGGAGGGAGCTATGCAGAGAAAGAGCTAAAGAAATCCGCAGAGGGGTAATCGGGAGTCTGTTGCTAACAGCTAAGGTACATATGCATCAGATGAATCTTCACAGGCTGGGCTCCCTTAGACCAGGGAGGTTTAAGCTGAGTAACTCTCAGAGTTCTCAGAGGGTTGGGAAAATGAATTACAACCAGTTGGGGCATTTAGTAGAAACAATGGAAGGGCATCATCAGAGTGGATGGCTAAACTAGTCTTAAAGTAAAGGTTATCCTAGATTCACACAAAAAAGCTTAAAAGTTACAGGGGAAACTAGCACAACTTGTACAAGGAAAGGTCATGGAAGCCCCATAGACACATCCAAACTCCCTGAGGGACTGAATTGCTGGGTGGAGGGCTCTGGGGACCATGGTCTCAGGGAACATCTAGCTCAACTGGCATGACACAGCTTATAAAGACAATGCTCTACATTCTACCTT